CTCTAAGCTGCCTCATTTTCGGATTGCGGAATTATGTGTCTCTGTGTGCTGAGGGTACTTTTGAGGGGGTTGGTTTAAAGGGAGATCAACGGGAAAACCGGAAAACCGCCATTTTGGGCATTCGGGGGTTTCCCTTATTTTGACACATGCTTGGTTCGGCCGGCATCCGAGGCGCCGCACCCGCAATGCGACCGCACTGGATGCTCAGTTGCAGCCCGGCATGCACTGAGAAAAACAAAGAGAGGGGAGCCCAGGCAAAGGAAGCGCTGGAATTCAAGTTTCCCAAAGTTTCCACGGGCCCCTAAAGACGGGGTTGCCCCAACAAATAGATATGGGTTAAACCCCATCTCATATTTGAAGGGTCACGGAGACTCCAGGTGTTACCCTTTCTAGGACCTGATTGGCCCCATCGCCGTGTTTACTTGTGAGGTTTACTCTTTGTTGGTGGTGTGATGCTGGCGGGGGGCCTTGGGGGGAGGACAAGGTGTGCACTGTTTGCTGGGGCAAACATATGGCATGCCAAGAGGAGTGAGTAGCACACACACACACTTCGTTTGGGTGGCTGGGTCTAGCAATCTTTCAGCACGCTTGACTGAGAACAGGTGTGAGGTTGTGTGAATGAAGTGAATCCCCTGTCCCCTTTGTCCGGAAAGGCCGTACACGTTCGTCACGTGTGGCCAGTCTCATGGCGTGTCCCGGTGAAAGGACGAACAGACTCATTCGCCCTGGTCGTTTGTACATCGGGGTCTGGTTGCCGTTTCCTCGCCCAATTGCCTGTGTGTTCACACAAGGCAGCCTTGCCACCCACGCTGCACAGGACGTTCCTTCTCGACAGAGACATTGCATGGGGCCAGCAAGCCTAACTTTTAGTAGGGGATCATGTTTGGGTGGTTTCCACAATTGCCAGATAGGAAGAAACTAGAAGCCAACCATCTTGTCCCCTAGTTTTGTTCACACCTATCACATTTCAAGCTCAAGGCTAGGGGCAGATAGGACCCCAGGTCCGGGAGTTGTCGTGCCCGGAGCTATGAGGCGCCCCGCTCTTCAGGGGTTTACGGCTGTGGCCCATGGCTGAAGTGGGTGAGCGCCTTTTTTGCGAGTCCTCCCTTGGAGGTGGGTTTTAAATGGAAGCCAAAAAGACAACTCTTTATTTTTGTCCTAGCTCTCAGGGCACCCCTTGATCCTTTGGGCCTCCCCCCACAGGCTTTTCCCTCCTTTTTTGGGAGGGGCTGGGGGGCCGTGAGGCTGCTTTTGCTGGGCTGTTGGGCTGTTCTGTTGGGCTGTTGTACTGGCTGTTTGGGTTGTTGGGCTGTTGCTGGTGGGGGGCTCCTGTTTGAAGACACGGCCAAGCATTGCCCGTTTTCAGTCCAGGTGGTGGACTTTGCTGCGGCGCCAGCTGGAGGTGTCGCCCATGACGGCGGACACCTGCGCCGATGTCCACGGCTGCGCCGCTTGGAGCGAGCGAGAAGGGAGCGTAGGATAAACCCGTATTTACTTAGAATATGCCCTCGGTGTAGTAGAACATATGTTCCCAAAAAGGGGAGCCTTTAAAATGGGAATGTCTACTTGGTCACCCCTTAGAACTGCTCAAAAGGTGGATTATCAACTTTTTTTGTTTAAACCCCTCAAGTTCATTGTGGGCCACTTGCAGGCCCAACTCTCATGAATGGCCCGTGAGTTTTCTGGTCGGGATTTTGGGTCCACTGGCCAGGCGATGTTTGGTGCTTGTGTATTTGTGAGTTTGTGTGTTTTCGCTCTCTTTTTTGTGTGCGTGTGTTCGCGCTTGCGTGCTTGCGTTCATCCATGTGGCCCCCCCCCCCCAATTGCCAAAAACCAGAAGTTTTCATGAGGCCTCCAGATTTCATCAGCCGAGGTGGCAGTGACCGAGGATTCCGACTGCATTTGCACCACTCCTCCTCCGCCTCCGCCCTCGCTGGCGGCGGTAGTGGTCTAGTGTCAAGGCTCCGACTACCGTTTCGCCTGGATGTGGGAGCATACCTACATGAAATTCGAGGCAAAGCGTAACCCACCACAAAGCCGCACAAAGCCCTGGTTTGACACCTTCACGGCGAACTTTGTTGTGACTTTGTAGCCGTGTTCACGCGGACCCTGTCAAAGACAGCCCACTGTGATAAAAATGCAAGAAATAAACACGCTCGCGGGAAATTTGTTTCGACTGAGCACATCATGCTCAAAATGTTGATGAACATGTTCGGGAAACCTTTCATTTGCCCAAGCCCATCATTCTCAGATTGTTTCAAGAAAGCATTTCAAGGCAATCTTGTGTGCCTGTTCTTTGATAAGCACGTTCACAGCAAACCCGTTTTGATTGAGGCCACCCGAACCTTGTTGCGACTAAGCCTGCCATGCCCAAAATGTCAATTAACGCGTTGTTTACAACCCAAAAAAGGCTACCAGGATGATTGTGTCGGTCCCTTGGACATGGCCCAGGGGCGGGGGTGAGTGGGTGGGTGGGTGAGTTGAAGCAACCGTTGCCCTTGGCGATGTTGGGGCTTTATTTCGCCGTTTGTTGTCAAATGGCCCTCTGGAAACCAGTAGTGGAATGGTGGGAAGGTCATTACTCCGGGAAGCTTCCGACATGCCCCTTTGCAATTCAGGAGGCTGGTCATGCCCTTGACCAGACCACTAATACAGCCAGAACCCTCCATCAAACACAGCCTTGATCTGGCCACATGCAAAGAAACTGCCGGTTTGATGCCATGTCAGCTGAGCACACAGAACGCAAACAAAGAAAACACCAAACGCAATCCCACCCTGGAACCAACGCTCAGATTCAAAACCTTCCAACCGCCGCAACCACGACCGCCACATCCAGACAGCCGCATGTGCTTGGCATGGCGCGCTTCTGGGCTTCGGCGTTCCGCTACGTCCAGCTGAGCGACCAAAAGCCGCTTTTGGCCATAGGTGGTTCTTCTACAAATCCCCTGCATGTTAGCAGAACCCTTTGGCCGTCAATGGGTTGAAATTGGCAAAAAGGAAGGCGCGGTTCGCGATGGCACAGGTATCGACCCAGGCGAAAATCTGCTTTTTCGAATCCAGGTGAAGAGCCAATACGTTTTTCAACCTTTCAATTTTCGACTCTCTTTTGAATTTTTGACCCGCCTGTTCGACTTTCGACTTTTCAGGTCTCGACCGACTTTTATGTTTTGAAATTTCGACCTTGGCATTTCGACTCGAATTTTGATCTGCCTTTTTGACTTTTCAGGTTTCGATCGACTTTTCCTTGTTTCACTTTCAACTTTTCCGGAATTTAACCCTGGCTTTTCGACTTTTCTGATTTTGACTTTTTGACCTTTTTTTACTAATCCGACCTACTTCTGCACTTTCGCTGACTGTTTTTCTTCCACGTGCTAAGATGTGCTGACAAAATATAAAATCAAAACAAAAACAAGGAGCTTTTCCCTGTCAAAGTGTGTACTACGCCCAGTCTACAAAGTGACTCCGGCCTATTGAGGGGTGGGCGGATCCAAGCCCATTGTCCCGGCCTCAGAACTTTACCACTGAGTCCACCGAGACAAATTATAGAGACCACCCAAAGTGCAGAATTGATAATTGAAAAAAAACACTCAAAGGGCGCTCATAACTGAATGATATGGGCCTGGACCTCCAACTCGCTGGCATCAGAGGGCTCAGGTGGTAAGCAGGATTAGACATCAGACCACAAAGTTCGAAAAGTCGGAGAGTCCCTCGCCGACCTTCTTAAGCTGGCAGGCTAGGAAGGTAGACAGGCAGCCCTATCGCAGGAAGACAGCCTTTGTAGACAGCAATGGCTGGAAACGTCAGCAGTGAGAGCCATAGAGCGTCTTCACTTTCAAGCTGGGGTTTGACTTTGCATTTGCTGTTTGGCTCTGGGCGCCTTTGATTTGACAGGTTCGTGACTTTTCCGCTAAGCCCATATGTTCGTGTCAGTGGTGGCAAGGAATTCCGCTAGAGATGCCAATAAGATCCCTCTTTATACCTCAAGAAGAACAACTCGTAAGTCAGACTTCTCTGAACAACTCAGAAAATTATTCACCTTTATCATATGTTTTGCTCAGAGAACAAGCAGAACTTGCGGATTCACATCATCGAGAATTCTGAATCTGCAGCACTTGCTTCACTAAAAAAGACTTCATCTTTCACATTTACTGGAGCATCAGAAAACTATGAATGACGAGAACTATGTTCAAGGTCTCCAGCTGGGTGCTTAAGTTTCCCTTCTAGTTTGGGGGAAGTTCAATCTCCCTGAAAAATGCACAGTTAGGGCAGTCAAAGAATCACTGGTGTCAGCTGATTTCGGGGATCCAAACCCTTGTGCACTAGGTTTGTGGATGCATCCTTCAAGGAACCCGGCTAAACATCCAGTTTTCAGCTGTGTCCACTTTTGATGGAGGTTCCGCAGCCTTGAGCCCACAGGGCCCGAGCAAGTACATCAGCCATCCTTGGATGCGTTTTTGTCTTGGGGGAAAGGGACGCGTTTTGTTTGAGGGAGGTCGCCCGCACGAAGTCATGCTGTTGGTCGCGATGTCCCAATCTGGAGTTTTGCAACCGATGAGCTAGAGGGTTCTTCAGGGTTGCTCTGAGCCTCTTAAAGCTAACCAAACACGGGTGGAGATGTGATATGGTTCCTTTTGTTCCATTTCAAAGCAAAGGCTCCTTTCTCCGAGGGCTCTTTGTCCAGAAGATAATACTATGAGCTAGGGTATGCGTCGGATTTTACAGGTGGCAAGTACAAGCTACATGTATATAGCGCCTGCACATATACGAGCACATGTCGTGTGTGGTGCTCTCTATGGGGTTGTTGTAAAGGGATACCAAAGAAAAAATGGGGTTCTTGAACACAGATACAAGACCTTGCCATGGTCAACATACTTGTAATTGGTAGAGATGGTCATGTAGAGGCAGGCCCATGATTTAAACCTCATCTAGACCCGCATGGTGTGACGTGCACTCGAAGGTCTTCCACAATGGTCTGGTTGGACGCTGCGACGATTCGACGGGCTCAAGTCGCCCCAGGCTCTGTGGGCGTTGCGTTCGAATCAGGGCCATGACGCGTTTGCTTCTGTGCGCCCTGCCGCTGGCTCTGGCTTTTCCGGTTCCGCCGGAGCAGACTGACGAGCAGACGAGCTGCCCGGAAAGGAAAGCTACGGTTTTGCGCCGGGGAGGGAGAGAGAGAGGCGCATAGGCGAGGGGATCCAATGAGTTGCTGGCCTTTTCAATGGCGGTCCATTGGATTCGGTGGTAGCCTCGACAGGCCGAAATGTGATGAATCAGGAAGTCCACCGTTGCCCTTGCGAGAGAAGTATTGGTTTGGTCACTTCCCTTGGGGCTGTTTTTGTTCTCTAAAAATGAACATCATCAACTCCAAGGTCAACGGACCTTCATTTTGTTTGTCAGTTGTTCTTGGTAAGCGGGTGAGCTCGCTACAATGAAGCCGTTGGCACCTGTTTTGGATAGGCGGAAAGCTACACAACTGCTGCAACAGGTACGTTCTGTTGGAATCGTTGGAACCACCCCCCTGAAGAAGGTACCCTCCAAAAATGACAGACCATTTGCTCCAAGATCCCATTCAATTGATGAACCCCAGTTGACCACACAGTCACTTGTGGACCGGTTTGGTCAAAGGGGCTCTGGGCTTTTAGCCGTTTTCCAGAAACAAGGATCCCTGGAGAATAATGCCCCCAGAATGCCCCTTCACCGAACCCCCCTAGTCCTATTCGCTCTAAGTCTCGAGACGTCTTGGCATGCCTTTTGGTTTGATATAAGCTCTTGCTTGTGGCCTTTCCTGGCTATCGTAGCTGGCGAATTTCTGCTGGCTGATTTGCTTGCGGCCTGTGTTTGTCTCCGCCTGGCTTGTCTTGATTCCAGTGGATTTGTAGTTTGGTTGGTCATCTCGCAAAGTGCTTACTTATCACATATAATTCACACAGGGGGAAATATCATTTGAGGGTTCAATCCTGTGCCCGCTGGAGTATAGGTACCCTGAAAGGCGGCCGACGGCATAGTATGTCTAGAGATATGTAGTTATTTTTGGAAAGAGGCACGGTGGATTGTAGGTTTTTGTATCTTTATTTGCCTTCATGAGCTTCGCTCAGCCCCGACCCGCCCAGATGGTGGCTAGAGTTGTCGCGCGGGGTTGGGGAGGGTGTGGGGGTGTGGGGTGGGGGAATAGCGTTTGCTGTCCATTGCGCCGCCACGTCGAGGTGGCAGCGTCACGTGGGGTTGGGTAGCATGGGGTCGTAGCTCGGACGAAAGGTTGGCCTGCAGCAGTGGTCGAGTGCAGGCCACAAGAAAAGCCTTTAATAAACACAGCTGACAGAAGCAGTCGGAGCGGAGCTTGGCCGGCGTGAGGCGTGGTTGCCGGCCGACAGCAATAGGCTCCTGAATATGGATATGTTGACGTCCCCTTGTACCCGGCATGCAGGTTGGTAACCCTTGTCAATTTCACGTATATTTCTTTTGTTGAGATCCTTGTTTCTGCGACCCCTCGCCATGGGCTCTCGAGGCATTTTTCAGTCCGCGAGCAAGGCGGCCCAGGCGGCCAGCGACGCCGCCACCCCCAAGGTGTGGCGGGCAAAAACTTGGATCTGCCGAAACCTTTGCGGTCTCTAATTTGTCCCGTATTGTTTAGGACAGGGCGCCGAACCCTCTCCCAATTTCCCTAAGATTTACTGGGTGACTTCCGGCCTGATTAAGGCCTTATTCGGAGGACATGGTGTGGGGCTGGGTCCCATAAAGGAATCGACTCCCTGGCAAAGTTGAGGTAGGATCCCCACTAAAAAGGGGAAGCAACCTCGAAAAGGGTGTTACTTCTGATCTCGAAAAGGGTGTTTTTTTTTTGATACCAAAACCAGACAACCCAATGTGGAGATGCCCTCTCTCTCTTACTTGCAGGCTCTTGTCACTGGTCATAGAAGGATACCGACTCAAGGCAACAGCTAAAACACACTGCCCCAAGTGCCTTGTGATGTGGTTGCAGTTTGTTTGGCATCGAATCGCCAAGAACAATTTAAGGGTGGGTTGTCCCTTTTCGGCCCCCAAAAGGGGATCTCCTTGCGAAGGCGGCGCCTTGTCCAAAAAGAAGCCGGCTTTTGTTTGGACAAGGCCCCCCTTGACAGGCGAAGCGCCACGCCCCTCGCCACGGGTTGGCCGCTTTGACCGCTTTGACCGCTTGGGTGCCGCTGGTGTCAGGTGCTCGCTTTCTTCGACTCCGCGGAGTTCCGGGCCGAGCTTCGGAGCTGCTGCCCCGAGGTTTGAGGGGTCCCAAGGACTAGCTCCCCTCTGCATTCCCTGGGGAGGGCCTGGGGCCCACAAAGAAGAGGGTCAGTTGCAGTTGGATGATCTGACCAGAACAGGGCCACGCAGCCAAGCAGGCTGCTGAAGTACTGAGTTGACTGCCACCTAACGGGCTTTGCAATTTTCAAAGATACCCCCGCGTGATAGTTTGAGTTGAAACACCCATGCCTGGCGTTTGCAAATACAGACCAGAGTTCAAGCTTTCTCATCTTCCCTGAGCCTATTTGACCCAGTTGAAGTTTCCCCTTCCTACAGTGGATGATTCTCCCACAGAATTTGGCGTGGACCTTGTCCGTCCAGATGCCGACGCAGCACGCCGCGTCGGATTTGGCTCCCACAAAGATGTTGACACTCTTACCCAAGAACTGCGGCGATGATCGAAAACCCATTTCCCCAAGTTATCCCCCGAAAAGAAGCACATGTTTTTGTCTACGAGCTTCTAGTCTTCTAGGTGTTTGAACTAAATGGTTTGGTCTAGTTTGAATGGTTGGTTTGTCTGAATGGTTGGTCTGAATGGTTTTGCCTAGCTTCCACGCCCTTTGAGGGCCCCAGGGCCTCGAGAGGCGGCGCGCCAGTCCTCGGCGGAGCTGCTCCGGCGGTACCGCGCGGCGGCGCAGGTGGCGGAGCTCTCGCACGCGCCGTGGTCAAAAATGGGAGGCGCCCAGGGCCCAGATGGGTGGGGATAGGAGTCCTGTTTAGGTTTTAAAAAATACATGGTGCTGGTTTAGATGGGGTTGATTCAATTCGTTTACCAGGGCCGTCTATTTTTCCAAAACGCTTATGATGGGTGGGCTTTCCTCCAGGTTTCGCTTTAGTTTGAAGCAAAGTGAAACGGGTGCCCTCAAAAAACACGGGTCCAAAAGATGGACCCCAAGTATGGGAAAAAATCACCGAAATGGGGTTTTAGGTTGCCACTTTCCTTGAGACCAACGGGATCCCTCTTAAGTGTGGAGGCAATACAGTTTATCCTTCTTTCACACAATCAACTGTGAATTTTTGAGTGGCGGTTTCGACAAGCGGAAGCTGTCAAGCAACATCGTCTCACACTCCGGGAGACTAGCCAAAGCTCGGTTGTTGAAATGTCAAGCCCTGACCTAAGCAAGCCTTGGCTATGCCTGAACCTTTCTGCAGCCCAAGATGGGCCAGACGGCTCTAAAGTCTTGACCATCCAGAGCACAATCGCTGCGAGTGTTGCCGATGCTTTTCAAAGCCACCTTAGCCCCGTTTAGGTTCGGTGACTTCAACCCAAAAGTTTCAGGAACAGCAGGTACAGCGAGCTGCTTTTGATTGAGGAGGCCCAGCAAGAGAATGCAGCAGCAATTTGAGAAATTAGTGATTGGTAGGCTGAGCAAGGGAAGGGAACCAATGAGCTGCGCGACCATGTCCTTGGGCTAATCTCGGAGAACATTTGCCCAAAACCAACAAACCACCAGTCACATCCCCAAGCAAAGCACAGAACCCCCCCGAAGTCCAAAAACTTCGCCGGTGAAGGTTTTTCCAAGCCTCTCAGGGCCTTGGGTTTCAATCAAGGCGCTGCCAGCCCACGCCTTAGCGGACTCGCCCTTTACGGACATCACTGAGAAGCAGGCGGAGCCTTGGAGGGGGGGCAAGTTGATCCCTCCAGAGCCGCGGAAAACACGGGCGTCACTCAGTGGAGGATGTGCTTGGTAGTCTACTGTTTGGGGGAAAAGAGTTGGAAAAACAACCGCAAGTTCTATTGGCAGCGATGTCAGGATTCCGCAGGACGTATTGTTTGAAGCTCGGGGCCCTCCAAAACGGGCCCTCCAAGCGTAGGGGCCCGGACTTGGAGAGTGTTTCAAGGGAACCCCAAATCACGGACTTTCCAGGTGGGCGTTTCTCAAGCTTAGACCCGTCCAGGTCGGCTCCCTTTTTTTTTGGGGGGGGGGGTCCTTTCGTGAACGAATCCAGCCAGAGGTTCCTTGCAAGACAGACCTTGCTTGTCCCCAACAGCAGCCATCTTGGAGTTGGGTGGCCTTGGCGATGCTTCCTTGGGCTTTTGTGGTTTGCTTCTCTTTCTTGTGTGAGACCTGGACGCATCCGTCAAAGGCGAAGTGCCTGGGCGCCCATCGCAAGTCGGCGCGCGCCTCGCCTGCGTTTCGCCAGGTAGAGGGGCTGGCCTGGTTCCCCAATGAGTTCCAGGCGGCCTTGCTGCTCAACAAGCCCCGCGGCTGATGTTTTTGAGATTCGGGGATTCAGTGGGCTCAGTGTTTTTCTCTACTTGTTCCTTGGCCAGGAGCCAAGCCAGAATCTGCGGCTTATACTTTTTGTAGTCACAGTTTCTAGCTGCCCTCCTACTTGGCGGAGAATTACGTGGATGATGTTCAGGTTTCATCCAGCCCGAGCACATGGGTTCGTGTGTTTGTTGTTGGGGCCAGGGAAGGCACGGAAGTGTCCAATCGCAGCCACAAAAAGGAGCACCAAGCAAAATTGCAGTTGAATGAAGGATGTCAAAGCGAGTTCCCAGTAAAATCCATGTCACAACGCAAAAGACTACTTTGGGAGTGGAAAGGGAGCGACGCCACCACGCAACGTTTGTTGAGGAGAAAACCCTACGACCATTTGGGTCCATGAAAACTACAATTCGAATAGTGGTTTGACCCCCCCCAAAAGCTAATTTTGAGAACCCCCCCGGTGCAACTGCCTTGGGCCCGGATGCCCAGGGGTTCCCTTTATCAACTCCCTTGTTTCAGCTGCGGGGGAGACACCTCAGACATCCCGCCACGAGTCCACGAGTCTCGGGTGCCAGGAGCACCGCGCAGGGGGCGGGCATGATCAACGACCTCGCCCAGAAGGAGCTCTTCGGATGTCAGCCCTTCGCCCATGCGGAGCCCACCTGGTCCGAGGCTTTCGCGCCGCAAAAGTCGTTCTGTTGTTTCTTTTTTGTGTTTTTTTCCCAAAAGCATTGCGAAGGGTTCTTCCGTGCGGAGCTCTTGGTCAACTTGCGCAGAGTAGCTTGCACAGAGTCACCAGCATGGAGATACCAGGAGCTCTTGGTCAACTTGCGCAGTGAGTAGCTTGCACAGAGTCACCAGCATGGAGATACCAGCATGGAGATACTCGCGCAGAGTTACTAGCACAGAGTAGCTTGCACAGAGTTACCAGCATGGAGATACTTGCACAGAGTCACCAGCATAGAGATACCAGCGTGGAGATACTTGCGCAGAGTCACCAGCATGGAGATACTAGCACAGAGTCACCAGCATGGAGTCACCTGCGTAGAGTTACTTGCGCAGAGAGCCAAGCGCATAGAGCCAAGTGCTCAGAGCGAAGTGCAAAGAGGGAGGTGCAAGGAGCCAAGTGCACAGAGCTAAGTGCACAGAGCCAAGTGCAAAGAGCGAAGTGCATCGAGCCAGGTGCATAGAGCCAAGTGCATAGAGCTAGGTGCATAGAGCTAAGCTAAGCTAGGTGTAGAGGCTCGGCGTTAGCAGCTGTGTAAGCTAGGTTAAGTAAGTTAGGTTAAGTACTTAACGCGCGGGAAAGAAAGAGAAAGAGCTCGGTATTAAGAATCTCTTTCTTGGCGGCGGGTGGGGATGTTGCCGGCGATCGGGAATGTGTGACCCTCTGCGGGGATCGGCGTGGTCGAGGTGCAAAAACTCGAGATTGTTTTGCGTTTTTGCGGTGCCCGGATGAACCCTCTGCGGAGATCGGCGTGGTCGAGGTGCAAAAACTCGAGGTTTTTTTGCGTTTTTGACATTCCCGGATGAACCCTCTGCGGGGATCGGCGTGGGCGAGGTGCAAAAACTCGAGTTTTTTTTTGTGTTTGTTTTGCTTGCGAATTGGTCTTTGGCAATTGTCTCGTGGTTTGCGCGGCTGCTCTCCAAGTCGCAGTCGCAGGTTCGATCACTCTGGCTGGAATTTTAAGTACAAAAGTAGTACGCGGAGTACATTCCCGCAGCTCCAGCTGAAATTTTAAGTACTAAAGTAGTACGCGGAGTACATTCCTGTAGCTCCAGCTGCAAAATCGCAAATTTTAAGTACAAAAGTAGTACGCTTCCAGCAGCTCCGGCTGCAAAATCACAAATTTTCATACCAAACTAGTACGCAGAGTACAGTCCCGCAGCTCCGGCTGCAAGATCGCAAATTTTCAGTACAAAAGTAGTACGCAGAGCACAGCCCCGCAGCTTTGGCAGCACTTGCGCAGAGCAACTTGCACAAAGCAACTTGCGCAGAGCAACTTGGGCAGAGCAACTTGCAAGCAGCGCACATGCGCCGTAGAGCAACTCGCGCAGAGCAACTTGCATCAGAACTCTTGCGCAGCGCAACTTGCGCCGAGCAACTTGCGCAGAGCAGCTTGCGCAGAGCAACTTGCACACACACACACACATGGCTTTCAAGGCCAATCGTCCCCTAGTTGTTTGGGGGGGATTCGGATGTCGGGATGACGTGTTTTTTCTTTCTTCCTAGGGCTGGTTTTTCTTAGGTCTGATTCCCTGGTTGGTTGGTCGGTGAGTTGGTGGGTCGGTCGGTCGTTCAGTTAGATGAACACCTCTACCGGGGCATGTAGCCACACGATGAGCCCGAGATCCGCAGAGGGCAATTCAAAGCGGATCTGCCATGATCTGCCATTCAAATATGTTTGTTCTTTCGGTTGTTGGGACACCTCTTTCGTGGGTCGCGTTAGGGAACTCAACGAAAACCAAACTGACCCATGACCCATGTGGAGGTTGCCAAGCCCAGGAGTCTTCCTGTGTGCTGCAAGAGGGACAACATTTGCCCGATTGATGCTAGGTTGGATCAGATGTCAGCCAAGAAGAAGTTGAGACATGCTCATTTTGCCAACCGGCATCGGGCTACCCTCCCGTCCACCAATGAAGCCCACTGGACCATCCTGCCAGGTTGGAGGGCGAAACAGTAGGGCGCAAGTTCCAATTTTGCGAACCGTGCGTTTGCCCTCGAGCTGCGGTCATTTGGGAAAGATGATCGCAAGACACAAGTGCGGGGCCTGTTTTCCAGGAAATTTCCCTAGCCGGGGATGCCAGTTGCTTTTGTCTTTCGGGAAAAGTGCCCACAAGACATAAGTGGGGGCAACCCTGGCAAAGCTGGATGCTGGTGATGTTGCGCTGGTGCGGCCAGAGATGCAAAAACCATGCTGGGGATGTTGGACACTGGCCCGGGGGGACGTTGTGGAATCAAGGGGAGGGTGACGGCTCAGGAGTCATACCCCAAACTCGTTACATAGAGATATTCGTGTTCACGCCTCTTCGTCTTTATGTGTGCATGTCCACACTCCTGCTGCCAACGCCTTTGTTCCGAGCCTTGTACGTATCCCTTACCTACGTATGAACACATCATGTACGTGGGTGGGTCAATGCCCGCAATTGTTCCGCCCTTACATGATTGGGTGGCTCATTTTTCTCATTCAGTGGTTCTAAACATCTCTTTGTTTTTTGGATGTTCTCCAAATAATCCAGAGCCAGCGCAACAAAAACCTTGGTTCTGCAACGTAGCAATGGTACCCCTTCTAGCTGGACCCCCCTCGTATTAAGCTAGCTACGTGGGTTTGACCCTCCGAAACGCAGGCCTCCAGCCGGCTCATCTACATCGCGCCGCCCGGCCGTGGATGGGCAGAAACCGCTTCACTATGCCAGGGCAGCACCATCCATGCCAAGTGGTTTGGTCCATCAGTGTCGGCATTTTCTGACGACCGCTTTGTCCATGTCAAGCAAGAAAAAAGTGCTGTGCAAAAACGGAAGGTTGTTAGAGCGTGGGGGCTGGCGATCGGCATGCGGAGTTGTGCGTCACGGACTCTGCTCAGCAGTGAACCCTCTTTTTCACCGACGGAATTGGTTGACCAAGCACATTTGGGAAGGCCATTCTCCAGTAGTGGGTCAAATTTCTACCCCAGAACAAACAACACCGGCAGGTATTTCGAAAGCTCTCAGTTTGCCTTGCGATAGATCGGCCATGTACAGCTCAATCGTGAATTCCTCACAGGGAAGCCTCAAAGGACAGGTTGTTTTAAATGCAAAGTCGCAGGGACACCGCCCATTTTAGATGCCTTCCCCGTTTCGAGCCAAGGCTTGTGGCAAAATTCCCTCCCGCTCAGCAAGCTGAACCGCCGGTTTCCCTACTCCCAAAACACCACCACGCCTACATAGCGAAGTGCTGGTATGGTTTATGTACCCACCAGAATCAGCTTAGATTCTGTTGAACAAATCCTCCACATGCAATCGGGATTTTTGGCTTCTCTTGGTTGCCAAGGATCAAATGTCTTTCCTTCGGGCCGACCAAAGACCTAACCGGGGGAATGGGCCTGGTGAGGCACAACATGCGGCGGCTGGACACAGGTTCGATGCCCTTCTTTGGGGACATGACGGTGGTCTTCAACAGATGCTCGTTTGCAGCCAGCCGTCTTAGTCCCACTTCGAAACAAATGGTTGGACCGTTCCAGACGTGTTTTTTGTTTCCTTTGGGAGCCAAGCTTTTGCATAACAGCGAGCTCACCGATCAGCCCCCTTTAGCTGGAATTCTGTGTTTTCCACCGCTTCGATGGTTCCGCTTCTTTTCCGCTTCGCATGTCTACTTTGAGGAGCTAGAGTGCAAGAACCATTTGCTCTACAATCAGTTGGTTTTGTAGCATCCACAGCCATTCTCATGATTCAGGAGCTTTTAGCATGTGTGTGGACCTTTTGGCAAACAAATGATTTTTTGGCTGCTTTATGGGCTGTCCACAACCACGGGTCCCCACATAGAGGACCTATGAGAGGGACAAGTTTAAATTCCCAGCCATTCACAGATGGACTGCTTTCTAACTCACTTACCTTATTAGTATCAGTAAGGCCAAGTAAGGTTGTCTTGGCGGGCTTGAACAACCAGAGCTGGGTCCACGCGCCATAGATGGCCGTGGGTTTTTGGTCATGCTCGCAGCAGCGAAGCGGTCAAAACAGTGATACTCCTATGGTTTTTCATGCATCTGTGTTGCTTCAATCTCTGTGCTTGCAATTCCAGTGGGAATTAGCAAAACCAGTGCTTCCACCAATAGAATTGCAACTCCAACATGCTTTCACGGAATCTCGGAATCCCGCAGACTAACTGCCGATTTCACAAAATGTTGTCGGTTCATCAAAAGATATCAATTCTGCATACTGATGTGACCACCATCTTGCGACAACCATCTGATGTGTCACCCTGGAGCAGTCCTGGAAACACGTTTTCTTCCACTGGCTGACTGCATCCGTCAAAGCAACTATTCCAGTTGCCCCAAAAACTCTGCGGGCGTGCACGCGCCGCAAGTGCGGCGCCATGCCCACTGAAAGAGCTTCTCTTGAAGCATGGGATTCAGCAGGCTGTGGCCTTTGACTTTGATGACAATGCCGCTGGCCGACCCCAGCCATGTTTTCATCCCAACCCAGCATCTGTCCAGAACTTGCGTCCCGCAAATCTGGGACACACCTGGCTTCTTCTTGCCGGGCGCTTTGCGCACAAACTGCTTCACTTGGTGCGTGACTTGCATTGTCCTCAGGGCCTTCTTGGCGGCAAGCGACGCCCAGCTGCGGCTGCCGTCTGTGAACAGTGTCGTTTTGTTTGTGCAGATGCCATTTAGGAGGCGCGTGCTGGAGATTTGCTGAGAGCTCTCTGTTGGTGGGCGCCTCAAGCGCGGCTGCGTCGACGAGCTCAAAGTTTACACAGTGAAAACCCCCCCGCCCAATTCACCAGAAACTGCACGCGCACACACTGCTAATGCGGACCAGAGCACTCACCCTGACGACCAACGTGCCCCAGCCGGGCAGTCTGGATCAAGTCATTGATCTTTGGGCTTCTGCTCATGTCCAGCGCAACATATTTCAGCAGTAATCGGTGCAGCGCAGCTGCTCCGCATCGCAGGCCTGCAAAGATGGACAGCGCGAAGAGGCCCAGCCTGACACCGCATTTCAAGCAGCGCCAGGGTGCTGGCCGGGCCGATAGCCTGGCCAGGTTGGAGAGGCTGTGGGCAGTGATCCGGTTCTGGGATCCACCCATGTTCCTTGGATGCTCAAGAAGCATGGAGCGCGTTTCTGCCCGTTGACCATGTTGGCAAAAAAGTACACCCTTATTATGGCTGATCACTAGCATGGAAAACCAACCTGTTGGGACCCCATGGCAGCAAATGGAAGGAACCACTCGGCAACATGCAGCTACTTTTTCTGGAGGCCATCAGAGGGGCAGCCGATTGCCGTCCTTGCTTGTTCTGCCGGCGGACCAAGGCCGCTGGGCGCTTCATGGCTGGCCAGCTGCAGTTGTGTCTTTACACTTAGGTGGGTCGTGCTCCTGTCAACGTGTGCTCGAGGTTGGGCAGTGTTTGTGAGTCCCTCAAAACTGCCCTCAGCCCGCGCCCGGATTTGTTCTCCAGTGCTTTGCACTTGTCGCAGCCCCCTACCCAAAACAAAGGACAGCAAGCCAAGCAGGAACGTTTAGTGCACTGACAGCGACAGCAACACTGTGGCTAAACAAGGCAATTTTGTAGAGCGCTCTCATAATTTTCCCTCACTGCGGTCCCGAATCAAGTCGGCCGGATCCTGAAGCAGCCGGCTCGCTGAGCAAGCCTTGCGCCAACAGTAGATGGTCATCGATGATGGCCATGTAGGCCTCCCAAAGTTCGCTCAACTGCGGCCTGAGGCTCAGAACGTCCTAGTACTCTGCAAGGTCCACGAGTGCAGTTTGACCTCGAGAGGGCCAGCAGGCTAGGGAGCACATGCTGTAGCAAACGCTGTCGGGCAGTGGGCTGGACGACGTCAGATTGCACGACAGCCTGCAGGCTGGCTCCAGGTGCAAAACTATCTCGTCGGCATCATCCCCCTCCGTGGCGATGTCAATCAAGAATGCCCTGCGGGAAAACGTCTCACTGCCTGCCTGACAAGCAACATTCCAAAAAAGGCCAGCAAATCCCCAAAGCGTCCTGATCTCAGCGTAGCTGTGCTCCGCACTCGAAGCCCCAGAAATCGGACTAGCCAGTCTCGAGCAAAGCCGCCATGCAGCCTGCTGCTGGCGTCGAACAAAGCCGAGGTGTGGGGCTGCCGAGGCTGTCGCAAACCTCAAGCAAACGACCAGCGCCAGAACACCCCAAATAGTGAGACCGCAGAGCCCGTGAGCAAAAACAAATCAAACAAGTACCCACAGCAGGCAAGGCTCCCGAGAACGTGCTGGCGGCGAAGTCCGGGACCGCCCGGCGGAGCGAGCTGAAGAAGGTCCAGCACATGCGTCGTCAGGTTGAGCGGCCATGGCCGGGCCACGCGCGGGGAGAACGGCTAGCAGCCGGGCACCGAGCAGACGGTTCGAGACAACGTGGAGGCAGGACGCCGAGACTAAGCGAGAGGGCGGAAAACACGCAGAACGCCTCAGGACGGAGCAATAAGCAGACCAAAGCACAGGCAAGCAAAGGCCAAGAGAGTCAAAGGCCAGTGGAAACCGATGAGGCAGCAAGACTATCTCTGCCATGAGCGACAAACACGGGTCCGGGGTTTGCGTCACTACGTCAAAGAAAGAGTCCAGGTATTCAGGGCACACAGCAAAAACAGGATCCAGCAGCGGAAAAGAGGGGACGAGCCAGCACCGCGCAAGATCAGGACGAGACCTACGACGAGAAGAGCGTCCTCGGAAAGGTACATTTGAACCAAAACTGAAGACAAACATGAACGCTGTGGACGAGTCCGAGATCACCCCCCCCACCCCACCCCCCCCCCCGCCGGCTGAAAAATCAACGAAAACACTCAGCCGTCTACGGCGCGTGGTCCAACTACTAGCCTCCTTACGGTGGATACTTGAATATTGAAAGTACGGAGACGAGAACACAAAGACACAATCACCGCACCTCTTCATGGTTTTGTGGTTGAGTTTGGACTGGTTTGCTTGCAATGTAATGATAAATATCGTGTTTTTTCAGTGCCTTTCTTTCAGCTGGTTTGCAAGGGGACTGGGCCGGAAAACGCAGGCGGCCGCCTGAACAAAGCCGTGTTGATCGCGCCCTACGACACAGGGCTCTTCACCATGGACTGCCGCTCGCCTTTTTTCAGTCATGGTTGTTGAACATGTTGGTCTTAGGTTGCCACTTTCTGTGATGCCAAAGTGGACCTCGGGAGGGAGCAAAGTTGGACATGACCTGCTTGATGGCACTCCCTTGACCTTGAGCCTTTTGACTTCGTCCAGCAGGTCTCCTACAGAGCAACCAGGTGACGCTTTTTGGAACTCGAAGACCAAAACGGATGTGAAACTCAAAACGCGTTGGACCTCCTCAAGTGCTAGATTCGGGGCCTCCTTTTGTCAGCTTCCATGTTCGATTCCCGGTTTTGATTGGAGCCGTGTTCTGTCCGATCAGGGATAAGCAGCAGAACCCGTGGCATTTCTCCTTTGGGCGTCTCAACCCGCGAGCTTCGGATCGGCTTCCCGATCCGAGGCCTACTCGATAAGAAGCCGCACCAGTTCAAGCCGCCGCCCCTGAACTGCAGCGCGTGGCCCAGGGATGTGCCGGTGGGTGCCCTGGAGAGCTGGGATGGGATGGGGTGCTGAGGGCTGTGATGGGTTCGGGCGGTCCCAAGGAAAAAGGGCGCCCTCTTGTGGGTTTTTCCCCCAAGAAAGTTGCCACGTTCTGCTCTGCCAAGCGGCACCCATGAAAGTGACAAAGTACGGGGGATGGCGAACTCGGGCATTACAGGATCACAGAAAGGGTGATGTTTCTCTGGCTTCTGTTCGCAACCACGTCAAAGCCGTGTGTCGGTTCCGGGTTCCGGGCCAGGGGTGATTGATTTTGGGTCGATATTTGGACACGCCAAGCGCGAGTTCCTCATATTTCTCCTTTTTACAATTCCCGAAAGCTGGCGAAGGGTTCTTCCGCTGGGTTCACTTCAGCTGTTCTCATGAGAGTCATTACAAGGTGTCATTGTCATCATGAAAGTCATTGCAAGGAGTCATTGCAAGGAGTCATCAAGGAGTCATTGCAAGGAGTCATTGTTGCAAGGAGTCATTGTTGCAAGGAGTCATTGCAAAGGAGTCATTGCAAGGAGTCATTGCAAGGAGTCATTGCAAGGAGTCATTGCAAGGAGTCATGAGAGTCATTGCAAGTTGCAAGGAGCCAAGTGCAAGTTGCAAGTGCAAGGAGGTAAGTGCAAGTTGCATGTGCAAGGAGTCAAGTGCAAGTTGCAAGTGCAGGGAGCCAAGTGCAAGTTGCAAGTGCATGGAGTCAAGTGCAAGTTGCTTGTGCAAGGAGTCAAGTGCAAGTTGCACGTGCAAGGAGTAGTGCAATTGACTTGCGAGGAATTAGAATCTCTTCTTAGGGCGGCGGGGTAGTGTAGTGCCGACGACACTCTACGAAAATCGACCCTCTGCGGGGATTGGCGTGGTCGAGGCGCAAAAACTTTTGGTTTTTTGGGGTTTTGTTTTGGCTCGCGGGACCCTCTGCGGAGATCGGCGTGGTCGAGGTGCAAAAACTCGTGTTTTTTTTTCGATTTTGTTTTGGCTCGCGCGACCCTCTGCGGGGATCGGCGTGGTCGGTGCAAAAATGGGATCGGCGTGGTCGAGGTGCAAAAACTCGTTTTTTGTTTTGCGATTTTGTTTTGGCTCGCGCGACCCTCTGCGGGGATCGGCGTGGTCGAGGTGCAAAAACTCGTTTTTTGTTTGTTTTGCGATTTTGTTTTGGCCCGCGCGACCCTGTCGAGGTGCAAAAACTCGAGGTTTTTTTAGGATTTCTGCGGTGCTCGCGCGACCCTCTGCGGGGATCGGCGTGGTCGAGTTACGATTTCGGCGGTGCTCACGCGACCCTCTGCGGGGATCGGCAAGGTGCAAAAACTCGAGGATTTTTGCGACTTTTGTGTTGTTCGAACTGGTCCTCGGGAGTTGTCGGTTTGCGCGCCTGCTCCTGGGACCGGCGGGTCCCGGGCTCGATTCCCCCCCGGTCCACGGGCGGGCTTCGCAAGCTGCACGGAGCAGACCAGCTTGCGCAGAGCAACTTGCACAGACCAGTTTGCACAGAGCGCCTTGCCTAGCGCAACTTGCGCAGAGCAACTTACGCAGAGCAACTTGCACAGAGCAACTTGCAGGGAGCCACCCCTAGCGGGCTGACGCGTGCTTTTCTTTCACTCAATGAGCCAACAGGCCATGAGCCGCCTGGCGCTGTCTCGCGCTTGCTTCACGCATGCTTCGTGTAGGAAAAAAGAACGCATCCTGCAGCGTTGGGCTGACCTCTCTTGCGATGTTATGCTTTCGGGCCAACCGTGGTCTAGTCGACATCATATTTTGAGTTTCCTCGAGGTGGGGTCATGTTTACAGAGGAGATGTAGGTTGGACCTGTGGGTTCATTAAACAAACATATTGGTGTCACGCATCCCCCCTATACCAAAGTTCCCCGGCCACTGGCAGAGGCATGCGCGCTTCCTTAAACAAAAAACAAACAAAAACAACATGACGCATTTTGCCATGTGTGACCTGAACAGAACATATGCTGTCTTTTGTGACATTAGCTACACCCAGAAGAAAACTTGGTGTTCGGGCCATTGTTTGGGGTGCTTATTTGTCAATTGATTCAATGTGCGTCCATTGGTGGTCGTGCGTGGGCAGTCTGGTTGCTCGACTGTCTTGCCTAGTTTTCAAGCCTGTGTTCTGGTGGATTGAGTTTTGGCAATTAGGCGGGTCGGAATCACGCGACTTTCAACGACGCCGGCGATGCCCAGCCTCTGTGATTGACATGCGGCTGCTGGCTGTCACCGACCAACTGTTGATGTTGCCACCTCAAGTCAATTGCCACACACAAATGCTCAGTACACCCCCTGTATATAAGCCAAGTACCCCGGCAGTTGAGGAGTTCCCCCCTGCGTTGGAGCTGCCAGTGCGTACAGTGGCAATTAGCTTAAGTGCAGCGGCGTGCTGAAGGACTTTTTGAGTTGCCAGCGCAGCAACTCCTCAGGCACAGTTCTTCCTTCAGTACAGGGGTGTGCTTAAAGTGTTTGTGAATTGCCGGTGCAGAATTTCCTCTTAGGTTCCTTATGTACAGCCCCCGCGTATGTAAGCCAATTACCGCTGTGCCTTGGGAATTTCCGTGCTGGCTACCCAACAAATCCTCAAGAACACACCCTTGCGTTTGAGCCAATCAACCCTGTTTTAGTCTTGGTGGGATGGACCCCCAAACGGTTTGTCCCGGCGCCGAGGCACGCTGGAACACTTGGACCACCTGATCATTCCCAACTTTGAGGCACTACTCGGCGTGGTTCGAGGTTTGATGTAAGTTAAGGGGTTCACGACAGCCAGCAAGCAAGCAACCAAACAAGCAAAGAGCTGAACAACACAAAGAAACACACCAATGACGGTAGTAGTAGAAGCCATGATGACAGTATTCGAAGAATGACAAGTACGCATGGTACGAGGGACGTTCTGCTATGATGAGCAGGGTCAGTAGGTTGGCTGGCAACTTTGACACCACGACCCCGTATTTTCACCGGTGTGAAAGTAGTTGGTGGTGCAATTTGGGAATTCTGCCATCTACTTTCACCCCACTGTAATGATTCAGGCCGAAAAGCCGAACACGTGGAGGCATGAAACACGTCCATATGCAAGGTAGCTAAGAAAGACTGCGCACTTGTCCAAAAAGCGCGCTATGACGCTTTTGGAGCGTATGGGGTAGGGAGGTGCGCCTTGAAGGGGCTCGCTGACCCAGCACCACCACAACCACCACCGCCAGTGAGACCTCTTCAGACACATATTCTCCTGGACAGGGAATCCTGAGTCGGCTTAGGCAAGAACATGTGCATCGGCCTATGGGTGCTTTACTAAGGGACAGGTCCACGTGTGCCAGGTCCACGTTTGCCGATGGAATGTTTGCGCATGACTTGGCCTCAACACTAGAGGGTGCCCTCAACATACAATCTTAAGTGATTGCCATTATTTATTCACGCTTGCGGATTGTTTATCTGCGTCTTGTGAGGTATACTAATTTGCCAGACATGATTTGGGCGGAAGGTCCTAAAGTTCGGGTTTTCAGAAGCGCCGAAAGATTTTCGGGCAGTTCGCAGAGCCTTTTTCCGGTTCTGTCGATTTAAGCAATTCAGCTTTCTTGCGTGGGAAGCGGAGCAAAATTGAATCTTCCGAATTTGGTGCATTTGGGACAACACCCTACCCTTCTGTGGCTTGGCTCTCAAAAAGGCTGGCTTCGCGCAGGCTTCCCAGAGACATACTCCGGCTTGGAGTGGGCACCTCCAAATCGTGGCGCCAGGGCTTTTGGAGGGTGTGTCTACACTCGCAAGCAGGTGCCTTACAACCACAGCGCGACCAACAAGACGAGGCGGGGGCGGGCGCTGAGGCAGGTTTGGGGCATTTGCTTTTCAGGGTGGGCGCTGCAGCACATGCGCGTAGCAACCCTGGCTTCCTTTCTCTAAGCGTACCAAAGGCAAAGGGTCCTTGCCAGACGTATCGGTGTGTTCGCAAGCGTTCGTCTGCATGCAAGTCTGGAAAAAGGTGTGCCGTTGGGACAGTTTTAATGCATTTTGCGTGAATCATTAAGTCATATCTTTTGCAACGGTGCAAGTCGTTCTGCAAGCATTTGCGCGAATGTCATTTTCGTTGGTCCTGTCGCGCAATGGGCTCGTTTTGGTGAGCTGGAACCAACTCGGTCGAAAGCATTCTGGCGCCGCAGTCCCGTGCTAGCTGTGGACCCGTGTCAAAGTTCCAGGCGCAGTGCGTGGCAGTCGCAGTACTTTGGAGGTCGGCGTGCAGGAGCGCAGGTTTCGTGGCAGGCGCTTGGCATGCAGATTTTGGCGCGAAGCGTGGGCAGAGACACGTGGCGAGACACAGATTGATAGGTAGAGAGATGGAGAGATGGATGTAACAAAAAAATAGGTACACAGCCAGATAGATAGATAGATAGATAGATAGATAAATAGATAGACAGAACCAGAGAGGGACAGAGAGATTGAGAGATATAGTTCGAGTAGATTTAGACAAGATTTTCTTAGATTCAGTTTTGTTGGTAGATAGGTTGGCAAGGAGAGAGAGAGAAGAGAGAGAGA